AATGTTAACGAATCTATTACAAAATACCAGGATCCATTCCAGATAGTAAAAAACATATCACTTGTTCCTTGGCCCAAAGATAAACTGTCCACCCAATTTCAACTAAATCTGGTGACAACATTTTGAGATATTCTGATAACAGACAAAAAAAAACTTCAACAAAAATATCTTCACATGATTTTAGAACTAATTATCAGACGTTTATCCTACATTCAAGAAAGTACAAGATAGATATTTGACTGAGAAGATTACTGTGACAGCTGGAACAGATGCAACAGCATCTCTGACTGAACTTTACTTTCCATCATTTTCTTTCATATTATATTCCACCAAAGTTAATACCATAATTTCACAGTTAATGTATAGACCTCAGAATAATCTCAAAAGTAGGTTACTTGCTCATTTACTACACTGATAACTACAGTATATGTTCAACAGGAGAAGCATTCCAGCTATTAGTGAGCATGTCTCAGGCAGCATGTGAAATCCACCTTATCACAGTGTGTTTGTTGTCAGTTACCCACAACTATCTCCGCTTTTCCTCCCTTCTTGCCTCATTCTGACAGTGCACAGACTACTGTAAACTGTCAGAATTCCTCACAGATAACAGCGGCAGCATACTGCAGAGACAAAACTCTAAACTTTCCTGGATGGAGAAGAATATCTTTTGTCTGTTTTGCACATTTTGGATGACACGGGAAATGTTTTAATTACTGCTCTTAACTTCAAGAAAATTAAAATTACATATAACGTTATTAATCAGATTTATTTCCTGGCCCTCCAAACCAAATTTCTATTCTCTTATAATTCATTAAATCCACCATTAAAAAGTTTCGTTCCCACAAAAGTGAAAGAAGTGGCTTTCAAACTGATCAATGCTATTAGTCCGTGCAATGAATTTCTTCATAATTTCTTCATGAATTTAAGTTTGATAATAATCAATGAAATCATCACATTATTTCATTCTAATATTATATTTAGCACTGAGTGGTTGTTAAGACACAAACACAATAGACACAGCGCTTGCTGGTTTAATATCCAAATTAATATTTGAATATTTTCTAATGCTATGACATAAACTCAGACCAATGCAGCCATATGAAGGCTTCCACACTGCTATTCAAATGGATCGTATTATGGACCATTACACAACAGCACATACCTGTGGATTAACTGTAGGCCCTGTCCTGTGTGTCCCATAAGGCTGCAGGGGACCAGGAGTTATTGTCACAGCTGTGTCACAACACACACAAAAATTCAGCAAATCATAACTTTAGTTTCCAGTGCTCTGCTGCCAAAACCCTGCAGTAACGTGGTCGCTGGCATCTGGATGCTTCTGTCGTTTAACCTGTATGTGTTATCATGCATAGATTTTACTGATAATATCTCAGTACCTTAAATAAAGTATAATTTCAAAATCAGGACTTTTAAGACTTCTTCTACACTGTGGTATTGCCACATTAAGTTTAATATTGGAAACATTGCTCCACCACTGATTTGCATTTGGTTTCCATATAGCCATCCAAGCCATCCATCCACTTCCATGCAAGTGAGCATCCATACCCACATCTAACTACATCATTCAATTAACACAGTCCTAAAAAATTGTGGAAATATATAATTATTCAAAGCCAATTTATAAAAACTTTACAATAGGAAAAATAAACTCAAAAGGTCCTAATGTTCAGCAAACTACTTTCTGTTAATGACATTCAACTTCTCTGTGATTTTTCAAGCTTTGACTAAATTACCAAAAAGCAAATTTAATTTTAATAATTTAATTTAAGGGGATAAAGACTGAGCTTTTAGCCAGATCAGTATTGTTTGCAGACTCCATTTCCCATTTAAGGGATTAATTAAAAAGAACAAACTTGAGCTCATTTCACATAAACAAAATTGCAAAGAGCAACACAATGCACTCCAGCTACTGTTAGCACCAGTGAGGTAATGAGGGGAAATGCAAAACGCAGGGAAGCTGAGCCTTTGAGGCCAAAGCCTGCCTCATATAATGGCCTACTAAAGAAAGGAGAGCTTTGTTCAGTGCAACACAAGCAGGTTCCTCTTTAATGACTTCATGTGCATGCCAATCACTTATGCCACACAATCCCATCATGCGGCCACAACACTTTTCAGGACATCCCGATCATGTGAGCCTGCAGCATGTGACTCGTTCTTCCCCCCCCAAACACAAGCTGAAATTCGGGTCAGCAAGTAACACCTTGGGGGCTAATGATGGGGTCGTTCCTATTTCCAGATTATGTAGGAGACTGTAGGAACAATGCTCACAGGAGCTCACCGGAGCTGTTTTGGATGTGCAAAGAACTAGTCACAGCACAGAGGGTTGTCACCTCAGTTATCAACAAAACAAAACAGTATGTTTGAAGTGTCCCTGCACTTTTCAAACACTGTATTTATGCTTTTAAAGAACAAAGAAATTAATTCTGGAATATAGGTTCTGGTAACTGTTGTAGCCTGCTTCACAAAGTTGCAATTTTACAAAAAACGCAGTAACATGTTGTATTTGGCCTATTTAAGCATTATGGGTTGAAGAGTGGTGACCTTTAACCAGGCAATGAGCCAAAATGTAAATCTGCTTTTACTTTATTTTCCTGTTCAGATAAAATGTATTATGAAACAACGTGTTTACATTAGTGTCTTGCCAGTTAACACTGCAGAAATGGCAGCATCATGTTCAACCTGCAAATCCCACCATGATGTTAAATTCCAAAAACAAAATGTCAAATATGTTAAAGCTGATAATGTTCTGCTGTACTCACCCCAGCAGCGGTGACTCTCTTTACCTCAGCCTAATGTTGATAGCTGTACAATGGGCTACTGACTACTTTTTTAACAGCATAGACATAGTTCACAGTCAAAAGAATATGATGTTATATATAAAAGTTACTGTACTGCTGATTTATAGTTTATGACAGGAGGGTTTAAAACTGCAGAATGGTCGTTGCTCTTTCTGCCATCACGATGCTTCAGCTGCTCTACATCTAAAATGTGCTACAGTGTGTGTGTATATATATACACATACACACACACACACACCTCTCTCTATCTATCTATCCATACATACTGGCCAAATGCGGGACCACACCCAGGTTTAACGGGCTCACAGGTCATGATGTGCAAGGTGATTTATTGTTTCCCTGAGAACACTGACTGAATCACAGATTATGTAGCTGTGAAAAATGATGCTGCTTTCCAAGTAAAGGTTTGTTATTTCCTTCATCAAACTAGAAGGTTACACGGTTTCTTGAAGTTCTATCAAGTCCTCAAAGTTGAATCTGAAAGGCAGAGTGTCTTATTCCAATGCTGCAAAATGTTCATGTAACCACAAAACCCCCTACAGAGTAGCTCCTGCAAATATCAAAAACTGAGCCTTCAACTTTTCAAACCACAGCTTCAGTCTTTCAGGTGCCGTCGGTGATAGCCCGATGTGATACAAACTGAGGCCAGTCTTTTAGAAATAGCAGACAGTGGGGGTCTGTGGGGTGTCAGATGTCGACAGGGACCAGTTGCTGGAGTCTCACCCTGGTCTGTCTCTCATGCTAGAGCAGCTGTGTCTTCTCAGACCTCACATTCCTGCAGGACAGGCCCACTTTACTCTCATCACCTGTGCTGATCTGAGGGCAGCTCCGGGGGAACCTTACAGCTACTTAAATTAAAGAAATTTTCTTTAACTTTTGGCAGTAATGAAAGGATACTTGGCCACCTATCAACAATTACGTTTTTACTAAATTAAAAGAAAAAATGTGCCATGTTCAGCCCGAATAATCACAGAAATCCTGTTTTAAATCTACAAGGGGTAACACAGATTAAAAAATGTGCTCGGGGAAACTATGGTGGTTTATGAATTAGGGCACTGATCCATGAACTGTAAAGTCCCCTGTTCATGTCCAGCTGGGGACCTCTGCAGCATGTTGTTCCCCATCTCTTTGTCCCCTCATTTTTCTGTTATCACTTCACTGACAACTCCGTGATATATAAAGACATAAAATTCCCAAAAAGAATAGACCAAAAATCAGCAAGTACAACAAGGTATTGTAACTATAAACTCATCATTGAGCAGCACAGACACAATAAAAGTGACAAAATATCCTAAAGGTATGTTGAAGGCACCTTGCACAGAAGGGTATCTGGTGTTATGAGTTTGCAGCCATGAAGACAACTGATGTCCACTGACAGACTGAGGCAAACACCCATGATTCAGCAGCTTATTCACCCCATTAGACCTCCTGCACAATTACAGCTGCTTTGCAGTCTTTATTGCCTCCACTGCATTATGAGCTGTACTGCCTGACCTCCACTAAATAATACATGTAAACATATACCCCACCCTACTACAGCCGAATACTATAACCTGCACACAAAATATGAATAACAAATATGAATAAAAAATACCAGATGTATTTTTATTTTTGTTGTATGGTTCTGTATGTTTTACTAGATTCCCTTTCATTTATGCTGCATCATCCTATACGTGTATTTTTTTTTCTGTCGTTTTATTTTAATGTATAACAACATCAATCTGACACATTTACATCATATCGATGCTACTTAATGTGTTGTCCCTGACAAACAAATGACTAAAATTAAGTGAAGTAAATCCAACCGAGATGCATCATTTTAACAGGGCTGTGCTTCTTCCGTGTCGCATTTTATAAGGATAATATTGGTAGCTTCAGATTTAGAGAGAGAGAGAGAGAGAGAGAAGTGTGTGGTTGTAATGTAAAAAGACATGTCACTGGGCAGCAACGCAAACTTTTCACCAGCTTTTACGCCACACACATACACACACCTCTGACTGTGACTATTCATTCAACAAAAGCACCGACTGAACCCATTCACACCTTAAAAGCACGGCAACCGAAAAACCATCTTGCCAAAGAGTGGAGATTTCTTGATTCATTGGCTGCTTCCAGCCCAAAGCCCCTCTTCCCACTGTGTGGCTTCCCACCACAGCGTCTAACTACTAAACATCACACTCTTACCTCCAGACGTGAACGCTGAAGTAAATTTTACTTGGGACTCAAGTTTTTCGTCTCCTCTCTGGATGGGTCGCAGAGCAGCACACACGTAATAGACAAGCAAAATGCCTAAGTCTCTATTTAATTCCCTGCATTCCCACTGAATTAATTGGTTTTCTTTTCTCTGCCGCCGCTCGCTTCCCGAACAACTCCTTGAAATTCAAGTCCGCGCTGAATAGTTGCGCATATTTTTATCCGTGCGTGCTGTTTGAATGTAATTAAACCGCAGTCATTCGCAGCTCGGTGACGGTCGCTGAAAACTACTTTGCCCTGCTAATCAGTGCGGCCACTCATCCACGCGCAGCACTGCGCGTTCACGCTGCTCCTGGGCGGGGAGAAAGAAAACACAGGGGGAGGACGGGGCCAGGCCCCCAGGACCGGAGGCGAGTTTGCAAATCTCACTATGGCGAATGTATGACCCGTCGCACGGGGTACTGCAACTACCGCGTACACCACATCCAAAAAGCAACCCCCCTCGTGCACAATAACTGGAAAATGTGCTGCTGTAATACGACAAATGTATTTTCTGTGCTCACTAGTGCGCATGCTCCATTTTCCCAAAAATGCGGAAGCGTGCGGCAGTACGCGGAGGTTGTTTTGGTGTAGTGAGCGATTTTCATAGGAATGAATAGAGCGCCATCTTTGAACGCGGTATCCAGTTTCTCCATCTGTCTTACATCCATGGACGGAGCGAAATAACAGGAAGTAAGCAGGAACACTGCAGCGATGTAAACACTTCACAACACATGTTTTAGATGATGGTTAAACCAAATATGAGCGTCTATTTTGGGTTTATATAAGAGTGTCTTGACGAGTTGCTCTGATTTTTAAATACGTGGCTTGTCTTTCCTCGTATATGGTTAACTAAACAATCTAATGCACCGATAACTTTTCAATCCTTGTAGGTAATGAACCGGACTTTCAGTAAATGTCCTGCGCGCGCAGGTACTCTGTCGCAAAATGTTTAAGGTCTTCTTGCAGCGGTTTACGTTAGTCATTACAATGAGGGGAAAGAAGGCAGTTTTCGTGGTTATTTTTATTTAAATGTGTCTTTTGCAGGTAAGGATGTTGAATCTATCGCATGCATTTTAATTTGACAGCACACTGTTTATGTTCTACAGTCTATAATTACTGTTTAGCTGAGTTGTTTGGCTTCGTGTGATGGTTAAAGTGGTGGTTAGCTTGCTAATGCTAATGCTAAAGACCGTTTCTTCAGTTAGCTGCCTGACAAAAGCGAGTAACTAAACGCATTGCAGTAATGTCACATTCAGCTGTGACCGGACACCAGCACATGTAGTTATGGCCGATCAAACGCCAGGGTAAAAGTTACATTGTCTTGATCAGATAAGCCAGTTAAAGGTTACGTTTTTGAACTTGTAGGTTGACTATACATGGTACAACTTTAACACTCTTCTATCCATGTGCAGTGTAACGTTAACGTTAGTTGTTAAGAGAGCCATCCACTTAAGATAAAGTAATTGGTTTTTTTCATCGTGTTCAGGATGAGTGTTTTGAGATATCACAGTAAAAGTCCCGTTTTGAAACTGCAACTAATTGCAACAGTTTCTCTGTTTTAAAAACAGACAGAGTGCTAAAGACTCCACTCCTGCAAATGACATTATCATTATTAAATGAGTAGATAGTTCCCCAACTAATGTATAAACTGACACCTTCTAATTGCTTGATTTGTCTGACCAACAGCCTAATTTGATTACTTTGCTAATTGCAGCACTTCAATAGAGCTGCAAATAGGTTATTGTCATTATCAAGTAATCTGCCAATTAGTCCTGATTAATGGATTCATTGTTTGGTCTGTCAAGAAGTAATAATTTTTTTTTTTTTAAAGCCTATGGTGACATCCTCAAATTGCTTGTTTTGCCCCTGTATTTTCTAGACTGACTGACTCTCTGACTGTATTGGAGGATGGACCCTGTAGTGTTGAGCTACCGGGACAGCCTGTTGCGGCGCTCTGATGTGTCTTTACTTGAAGGACCTTACTGGCTGAATGACCAAGTCATTGGTTTTGCCTTTGAGTACTTTGCTGCTGAGCGCTTCAGAGTCCTGGGCGAGACCATCATCTTCATCAGCCCGGAGGTCACCCAGTTCATTAAGTGTGCTTCTTGCCCTGATGAGTTAGCCTTATTTTTGGAGCCACTGGATCTTGCCTCTCGTCAGTGGGTCTTCCTAGCTGTTAATGACAACTCAAACCAGACCGCAGGGGGATCACACTGGAGCCTTTTGGTGTACCACCACAACTCAAACCACTTTTCCCACTATGACTCTCAAAACGGCAGCAATTCACTACACGCACGGCGCATTGCCAGCAAGTTAGAGCCTTTCTTGGGTGCAGGGAGAAAAGCACTGTTTGTGGAGGAGCCTTGCCCATCACAGCAGAACAGCTATGACTGCGGTATGTATGTTATCTGTATCGCGGAGGCCTTATGCGAGAAGGCCAGGGTGGAGGGTTCGCCACGCCTTCCTGTGCAAATCATCACCCCAGCCTACATCACCCAGAAGAGGGCTGAATGGTGCAGACTGATCCAGAGTCTAGCTCAGAATGACCTCTGCTGCTCACTGTCTTTTCCTTAGCATGTTGATTACCCCTTACTATATGCAGAAGATGTATCAGCCTCTACATATCTACTGCTGGAGCATCTGAATTAACTCCTTGAATACAGTATATAACTATATATGAAGTATATTTCTATTGCAGTCTCTGTCATACTCCGTAATAGGAAAAAAAAGCTTAAAAAGATAAAGCACTGTTACAAATCTTTAATGATTCTTTGAACACTTGGTGTCATGTTTATGCTTTGTATATGCACAGCAACATACAATATATAAACAAGAACACCAGCATGCCTATTTAAGGAATTTACTCCCTTGTACATAAGTGAGGATGGAGAAGATGTCACGTGGAAGACGAGGCACAGACTTTTCTTTTCCCCATTATATTATTTTGGGGCAAATGTAGAAATGTTTACAGATTATTGCTCAGGGTCATTTTAAATGAACAAGAATTGACAATAAGAATGTGCATCTTCACTTTGGCTCCTCCTTTATGTTGTATTTGTTCTGGTCATGTATTCAGTTTGAACAGTCTATAACTACAAACTTTTAGTTTTGAAATTGTATGGAGGTAAGAAATACTGTGCTGTGAGTGTTTATGAGACAGGGCCATAGTGAGTGGTGGTAGTGGAATGTATGTTATCATAAAAAGCGAGTATTAAAATTAATTGTTGATCTAATAAACTTGACCAATGTCATGTTTTTGGTGACAAAACTGACTTGTGTTTTTTTTGTGAAGTCCCAGCTGTCTTGTTTTCATTAAGTTCTTGTTGACATTTTTACTACATTTTCTGTCTGCAAAGTTAATTTGTATGTTGTTTGTAACTTACAATTACCTCACTGTGTATGTGCACAATTACTGAAACACAAATCTTGGATAACAGATTTTTCTCAAACCTCTTGTTTCTGTTTAGCTTGAATAGATAATATACTTTAGTATGCTAATATAAATTACAGTTCTATGTACAGTTGTGAACAAACCATGCAATAGGGAAGACAACATATGTATCTGTCCATTACAAAATCTCACTTTCAGTCAGCAAAATAATCAGAACCATTGGTACAGTGACGTCTTTAAATTTTATGGGTTTTATTATAAAACTGAGAACCCAAAATGTTATTCTATTTAAATTATGCTGGATACCTTACTTCGGGAAGTACAGACATGTTTAAAATATCTATACTCCGGTGAGTTTTTGTGAGTATTTAAAATGCGTAAGTAATAAATGAAGATTCAATAAAATAAATATACAGACATAAACCAGGCTAGATAGATACATAAGACCAAGAATCTGAAAAAGCGTTTAAAGTAAACTTTCAATACTTGACAGTTTTCAGTTCTCCAAGCTACAAACAATTTGGTCAGCGCTTTAAATGTTTTGAAGTTTAATATAGGGCTGGGCGATGTGGCCAAAAATGTTGTCACATAAAAACATTTCATATCATTCGATATCGATAATTAACACGATCAATGTCAAATCATTATTTCTTTCAAGTTTAAAGGCTGATTTTTGCTCCTGAGTGAAAATTGAAGAAACTTTTCTTTATGGTCAGAGTGTGACCAACACTTGATGCCAAACAGTGGATCACTTAACAAATATGAGGTAGAACATTCAAAACTATTATGATAAAATCTGTTTTAACAAATATTATTAGTAAATCTTTTTTCAGTCCCTTTTCCCCAACAAAATAAATATTTTAATAGAAAAAATAAGTGCTAATTTGTTCACAAATCAAAGGAATTAAACCAAATATTTACTGACAATATATTGAACATTTATTATATTGTTATTGGAGGAAAATTATATTGCGATAATTATCATTATTGTTTTATTGCCCAGCCCTAGTTTAATACCTAGGTCTGCCTTGCAATAGCTTATCACTGAAACATGTCTTATTTCGGTGTTTTGAGAGAAAGGAATATAATACTTACAATTGCAGCTAAATAAAGCGGAAAGTGTACACTTCATTGTTTAACTTCTTTCCCCATCTATTTTATATTCATCTATAAAAGGCAACAAGTTTCATTTTTAGAAAAACATCAAAAATAGCCACAGATGTAATTTCCATGAGAGTCCCAAAGTAGAATGTGGGTAACAGTTAAACTGTCATCCAGCATTGCACTTTAAATTAAGAAAGGACACAGGAAGGCCAAACTATTCTTTATTTACAACTTTACTATTCAGAGCCAGACTTTAGCCTTTGACATATTTATAAGCAAGCATTACTCTATCAGTTGGAACAGGATTTAGGGTTTCAACATGGATAGACCTACAAATGATGAAGATGTTTCACAGACATTGTATGTGATGTCAGGAAGAGGGAGTCTGAAGGAAATGATCATTGTCCTGTCTTGTATTATATAACTGCCTATTTTAGGAAGCAAAAGTAAATGTTGTCAGGAATAATCACAATTTAGATAAATGCATAATTCATAGTTTTCCTGTACTGGCATTCTGAAAGCATCATGTTGTTGAAGAGTTAGATACAAATAAGATAGGGTTTTAAAATCAAGAGTAATTTTATATAGGGGTGTGTAAAAAAGTATGACTACATGAAATTGCACTCACCAATTTAATTGACCATATACAGTATAATCAGGAATACTCATTAGTAATTGTGTGGCAAAAAAAAGGGCACAACTTCCTAATCTGGCTGACAGCCCTGCACTGCTTTTAAATTCACACTGCTTGGACTGTTTCCACCCTCTGCTCTCCTTGCTCTGGCATCCCGTGCACATCTACATCTCACAGGCATATTTCACCTGGAGTAACCAGTCAGACAAGCTATCAGGGTTTACTATTGTCCTAATAAAAGGACACAAAGCTGGGGCTTTCACCAGCCAGGCAGCACGCTGCATTAGTGAGACAAAGAGCCCATGGAAAGCCACATTCATTTATACAAATTTCCTTCTAAATGGCCAGTTTACCAAGTCCACTCCATGAGTGCCTACAGGGAAACCGAACTTGACTTTCTATTTATTGTCATCTCAGGTCTTGGTACTGTAAACCTGCAGTAGTGCACCAAAGATTTGTGTCTTAATTTGAAGGAATATTACTGGTGCACCTTGTTATGTGCGGGATAACCTAAACTGAGATGAAGAAATTTAAATCCTACAAATCCTGTACTTTGGTCTTTTGGCAAGTGATACACATCTTTCTGTGGCATGAAACAAAGCTTCTTAGTATTGGTGGTTTTGTTCTGCTGTAAATTAACAGTAGGCTTACTGATACTTGCTGTCGTAATTAGAAAAAAGGCCATTCTTCACCTCCAGGACTCAGGTTTAAGTCTCCACTTCTCTTATGACCTCACTATGCATGTAGGTGCACCGCTATGTTGATGCTGCAAAACACACATTCATTAAAGTTTAGGCTGAAGTTGGGCTTTCAGTCATTTACTTAAAGCAATTCTGCAAACGGTATTGCATAACAAAGTTGATGATACTGATTACAAATCAGAAAACTATGCCATTCCATTAACAATTGTAAGACCAAAGGTATAGTCAAATCAAAAACATGTTAGGTTCTCCTGTCAGTGTTATTGACCAGACACTGGTAAAGTGTCCGGAGTTGGTCCCCGGGAGCTGCACCGCCGCTGCCCACTGCTACCCTTGAGAGATGGGTTAAATGCAGAGGATGAATTTCACATACATGTATGTGTATCTGACAATAAAGTATGACATTAAAAAAAAAAATATATAACTTAGTAGTAGTAAAAAGAAAAACAGAATTATATTGTGCCTCATGCCAGGAAGAAACAAAGAAACATATTTACTGCTATGATGAGACTTCACTTACTTGAGACCTGACACCCTAAAAAACTTGACTTAACATGAATTCATTTAGCTGACACTTTTATCCAAGTCAACTTACAGTTGCTATATATATGTCAGAGGTTGCACACCTCTGGAGCAACTAGGGGTTACGTGTCTTGCTCAGGGACACAGTGGTGGATGTGTTACAGTTGGGAATTGAACCCAGGACTCTTACACCACAGGCATGTATCTTATTTACTGCGCCATCACCACCCCACTTGAGCAAAAACATTTTACTGTCAAGTTTTGACCATGTAAAATCCCACAACCATTTGTATCTAAATAACCTGGTCTTAGCAACAAAAAAATCACTAAAGTAAGTTAACTAGTGAACTTAGGTTTGGGAGCAGAGTCAAACCTCAACCACACCTCTAATCACCTGTCAAAGCTACCCACCCTGTCCTGTTTGTCTCAGTTTTCTCGACCTATCCCTCACTTTCCCTCCCCACCTCATCCTTCTCTCCATCCATCCTCTCTTCCCACCTTTCCTCCCGGGCCTTTAATATATCCATCCCACACTCAATATGCAATACTTACTTACTTTTATGGATATCTCCTCTTAAATACTCTACCTGCATTAAATACATATAGCTGAAACAGTTGTGAAAAAGTGTGTTTTTGGCTTTGATTTATGACCAGACATATACCGTCATTTATAGATGTAAACAAATACAGAACTCACTCACCACTGCTCTTCATCAGTGTTGTGTGTAATTGTTTTCAGGAGCAGAAGCCAAGGTTTTCCTTCCAGGAGGTTCATATTTACTCATCAGATTGAACGCCTCAGGGCTGGAATGGGTACAAATACATACACAAATGCACACATACACTTACACATAAACCATATCATTCCATAATGTGAGCTCAGAAATGTCTCTGACCTCTGAAATAAGCAGTAAAATCTGTTTTGGCAGTGTTAGTTCTTGTACATTACGCCATGTCCTGTCACAACACATCTGCAACCAACTACAACAACTTGGAGCCTTTTCAGCTACATTTACAGCAGTATGCGTGAGAATCAGTTTGATTAAAACAATCAACAGCCTATCCGACAGAGTTACATCCTGAGCGGCACTGTTTCCAGGTGTGCGCTACGCAGTAACACATCTTTCTTGTTCAGGTGGTGTATGTAGGTCAAGTCTATATCAAAACATCACATCAGAAATAAAGAGAGAAGGGTTAGGGTAAAATGCTCCACCGCATGTGCAGCATGATTCCCCTGAGATAAGGCTCACCATTGTGCTCCATGTTAATGAACTGAACCAGTGAAATGCCAGCCTCAATTCCTTGGATCAGGTGGTAAACCTGAGTTGTTATGTAGGTCAGTCATTGTATGAGCACTCATTTCAAGGTTCTGTTCCTGCAGAAATCAAAATGTACAAATCTTAAATCCAACAAAGACAAAGCAGACAATAAGAAACTGGAGGCTCCAGCTTCAATTAAAGTTTTTACTAACCCTAAAATCTGATTTGAAACAACAGGACAAGACCATGAAAAACATATTTGGGGAAATCTGTGAACAGTTAATAAGTTAGTAATGCTTGACTTTTATCCAACTCTATTGGCAACCAGGGAATAGGAGCAATCCTCTAAAGTACTGTGTAAAAATGTTTGTCCCCTTTGAGAATAGTATTATTATTACTATTATTATTATTATCTCAGAATTCTGTGTTTTCATGAAAACAAATCTAACTTTTTCTTGATATCTCATTTTATAAGATAACAATCTCCTTTATTCAGTAAAACAGGGCAAACATTTTTTTCTGCCTATGAGCACCTTTAAAGCTCCATATTTAACACATGAAATATCTATGTAATCCATACTAAACTGAAGTGCTAGCTCCCTGCTTTAATTTGTGCTAAGTTAAGTTAAGCTAACCGACTGCTGGTGCTAGTTTCACATTT